AGGGATTACTTCACCTTGATCATTAGTGACCACGGTGAGTCCAGCTTTCTTAGGCACCATTCTCGTAGGACTTACCCAACTGCTATCTGAAATTGGATAGATAATACTCACATCCAACCACTTAAATACTTCTTGCTTAACCACCTCTCTCATATTCGGGTTCAACCGTCTTTGCATCTCTCTACTTGGTTTGGCACCCTCCTCTATGTAAATATGGTGCAAACAAATGGATATACTAATCCCCTTCAGACCAGCTACTGACCAACCAATGACACCCCTATACTCCTTTAATACCTCGACCAATTTCTCTTCCTATCTAGGGGTTAAGTCTATGGCTATGATCACCGACAGTGTTTGGCCGGGTCCTAAAAACACATACTTAAGGGAGTCCAGTAAGGGCTTTAGTTTTAATTGTGGGGGAGATTCAAGAGAAGGCACAGGTGGTTCAACAGTAAACGACCTGGGTGCCCTCGTCCGGGTCAACCACCACAACCTCTTCTTCCTCACCCCGCTGCCTCGCTCTCTTCTGTAGACAGGGAGTCCTCTTAGTCGACCTCAGCAGCACCACTTCGGGTCAAGGTTGGGCCCCTTGAACACCTCGGCCACGCCTGTCTTGCTCAACTCTCATCCTCGCTTGCCATCTCAACACCTGCACCAGAATAAGCACCTAATCAGTACAAGTCATAAACTCGAAAAGAAGAGATCGGAAAACAGAGAAGCAAAGCGATGAAACAGACCAGCCTCTTCTCTCATCAGCCCGATGCAGATCAATATCAAGAAGGACGTGTACCATTTCATGTTGATCTCCTCTATCACGCCTATCGCCGCCCTCTCCTCCTCGATAAGCCTGGCCTAATTGGGCTGCGACACCTTCGTCCTCGGCTTCTGGAGCTCGGCTGGAAGAGGTGAGCCCCCAAGACAACGTACAAGGAAGAATCTCTCCTTCTAGTGTTTCACCGAGGACGGGGTCCCGACCAGCACCTTGATGCGTTTCCTAGCCAAGAAGTAGTAGTACCCCTATTGGTGATGCTTCAGTTGGAGAAAATAGGTGACAATTCCCAAGGTAAGCTTGACATCATGGATAAATGAGTCGACATCAGCTGCATCAACAGTACCTGGTACCACTGAAGCACCCCGACAACCCCCTTGTGCAATGGGAACCTCAACCCGAACTCCAGACTCTTTTCATATACACAAATCTCATCCAGCCGAGCATCTGTGGGCCTCTCTCCAACCCTCGAACACCTGAGTTCAAATTCCTCGGGGATGCAGTACAAAGCCCGGATCTGAGCCATATCCCCGGGAGTAAGATTGCACAGAGTGGTCCCAAATCAGCGGCCAGCCCGCACAGGAAGCTAGACCTCTACAGTTGACGGCCCCGCCTCAGCCACTTTGGCCTCGGCAACCCTCTCAGGTTCTACTCCCTCGAAGTCCTTGGCCTTGTCCCCCCGACCCTCAGCCTTGGGAACGTCAAGAGTGGAGGCCTCGGTGAAAGACCCTGGCTCGGACTCAAAATTAGAAGATGCAATGAAGTCAGAAGAAGAGGAAGCAAAAGGGGAAGAAGAACGGAAAGGCGAGGAAGACATATTATCAAATCTTTGTAGGCTAAAGGTCGCGGAACTGAAGCAAACACCGAGCACCGAAGACTACTCCTTGCCGAGCTCTTTTAGTGACTTCCTTCACAAATGACAAAGGGGAAATGCTCTTCCCCCTATTTATAGGATCCCCAAAGCTTCAGATCAAAACTGGATCAACAATGTGGATCAAACGCCACTCTGACAAGCTCGGAAGGACCAATCGGCACTACCTCTCTCCGTACGCGCAAAGCCTCAAGAAGCGAAAAACGCCTCTGACAACCCGTTTTGGAGACGGGATTTGCGTTGAACCGGACGATCCGTCCAGATAAACCAGTTCAACCTTGAGTCGCACGGTCCAGATCAAGTGCTTAACCGAATTTCAACTTCAAGTTCCTCAGTCGAGGATTGAAGAACTCTCCTACACCACACCGCGGCCAAGCACTTCACTCATCAACTTCAGAACTGGGGGAGTGGTGTTCGGGTTATGGTTGAGCTGGCCCTGGGTGCCACGTGGTCGCCTTATCTCCCCGGCCACGACAGCACTGCGTCACCTCCGCAAGCATACCTTATCTCCTCGGCCACGTCAACACCGCGTCAAGTGGATAAGCGTGACCAAGATAGGAGATCATCGTACGGATGGGGACAACTCCGCTGGGGATTAGGTGTTATCCCGAGGACCTCGGCAATTAACCTCATCCCAACAACCCCGAAAGCCTCATCCGGTCAGGACACGGATCTTTGGCTATAAAAATGTACCTCCTATTCAAGGTAAAAGATCCAACTCTTAAACTCCCATACTGTTACTCTGTTTGGACCAGCATTGCTCTCCAACTGCTCGGCCTGACTGGCCACCCTTTTCTACTAACTTGAGCATTGGAGTATCTACTTGGGGATAATTCCTCAGGCCTCTGACTGTTTTCTTGGTTTCAGATCTTGGAGCATGGCTTTGTCCTTCCACCTTGGCTCCACCCAGTTGGCAAGGATTATATGACTACGACCTCAGTTCTAGAACCACCTCGGATCGAGCAGCATCATCAACAACTAGCCCTGTGACAATATGGCATTTGAACATAATTAACGATAATTGTATTCCCGTGGCATGTAATATCATTCTCCAAATGCTACGTGACATCTATACAAACTGTCATGTGGCATGTACATATTAATAATTCATATTTAAATGTCACATGACATTCATATATAATTCCACGTGACATTTACATATTATTAATTTACATGCAAATGTCACTTGGTGCCACATGATATACATACACATATAAAAACATGAAATCAAAACTATACGACGTACTATTGAAAGCACAAAGTACAAAGTACCGCCAAACAAAACCTAAAAATACCCTTAACCTACAATATGTCCAGGCCAAGACAGCTTCTCTAGACGTAGTGTTTTCAACACCCAAGTCCATCCCATATTTCATGCGGGGTTGTTAGTTGGGGCTGGAACAAAAAAGAATACACCCAACCTCCAAATTTTCCAGATAAATGATCATCCTACCCCTTGCAATCCCAAATCCCCGCTACAACCAGCAGTAGATCTTATAATCGATTGTCACTTGTCAGTTTGCTAAAGGATCGATATGATTCGTACATTAAACGCCGAAGATTAAAGAGAGAATTGAACGCTACAAAGACTTCAACATTTAACTTAGGGGTGTAAATAGATCAAATTCGAATCAGATAAGGCAATATCCGAATTTGATTCGATATCCGACGGATGTTGAAAATTAATATATGAATTCAAATCTAATTAAATATTTGAATATTAGATTCTATTTAAATTTAATTAATTAATTATTTTAGATAATTAATAAATATAAAATAAATATTTTATTGATATAAAGTATATGAATATATATAAATTACTTATATAACTTAATTATTATATATAAATTATATAAAATATTCTACATATTATACAAGAATTAAATAATCGATCGAATTCAGATATTTATCGAATCGAATTAGGTCATATCCGAATTCAAATCAAATAAACTATTCAGTTTGAATAGGATACCCGAATTCAATTGATTAAATATTTGAATTATCTGAATTCGATTCAATTATGTCAAATATCAAAGGGATTATAGTTGATAAGGGCAACTTTTGAGCCCTAATATCAATAAAAGTAATCCTTTTAATATAATTTCTAAAATAGGTTAACTTTTTAAAAAATATATCAAATAAGGGTAGAAACACTGTTCATCTTCTTCCTCCAAACCACTTCCGCCCCAACCCCATGAACCTCAATGACCACCATCCATCAGCACAACCGCCGCCTCCATCAACCTCCGATAATGCCTCCGCCCACCTTCGCCTCTACCCAAGCCCCCTTTTTTTATAAATATGTGTCTATTTTTAAGTACATAGCAAAGCTTTTCCACCATGAAAATGTAATAAAAAAGATTCAACATTTACAATATTGTAAGAAGTAAGATCCTTGGTAAACAAGAACAAGAGGAAAGGAGGAAAGAAGGAACCTGATGTGAACATCATTTATGAGCACAACTAAGGAAGAGGGAACATAAAAGGATATATGGACTTGAGAACTACGACTAAGGGAACACTGGAGGATAGCGGGATTATTGATACGATGAGCCCTGGTCGGTTCGCAGGGCAAGGGTGGAGGTGGGCAGAGGCAGCAACATTGGGCGGAGACATTGCCGGAGGTGGCGGTGGCACTAATGAATAGTGGTCATTGAGGTTCATGGGGATGGGGTGGAAGTGGTTTGGAAGAGAAAAAAGATGATGAGTGTTTCTACCTTTATTTGATATATTTTTTAAAAAGTTAATGCATTTTATAAATTATATTAAAATGATTACTTTTATTGATATTAGTAGGGGTGAGCATTATTTGGTTAAAAACCGAATAACCGAACCAAAAATTTTGGTTTCGGTTTTTTCAATTCGACTTTTTCGGTTTTTGGTTAAATCGGTCCGATTTTTCGATTTTTGGAATTAGAATTTCGATTAACCGAATTAATCAAACTTTTTATTATTATATGTAATATGTAATATATAATATGTAACATATAATATATAATATATTATATATTTATATATTAATATATAATATACTAAAATTTGATTTCATAATGTATATTATAATATATATAATAGAGTATATATTATTAAAATTCGATTTTAACTGAAATAACCAAAAATTGAACAAAAAATTTTGATTTTGGTTATTTTGTTTTTTCTAAATTTCGATTTCGATTCAATTTTTATTTTTTAGTTCGATTTTTGTTTCTTTAATTCGATTTTTAAAATTTCGATTTATTCGATTCAGTTTTTAACCGAATAAATCGAATGCTCACCTTTACAATGATTGAGCTCAAAAGTTGCTCATATTTATCCCAATATCTAATTCGAAATCGGAATTTCAAATACCGTTTACACCCCTATTTTAACTCTGGTCATAGCTTTAGATTTGCCCTACACAAAATCTTCGTATTTGGGCTTCTCCAGTTGCCCTAAACAAAATCTCTCGTCTCTGTCTTCCCCAGTTCTCCTGCACAGAGATACAGAGAGATTTGTTTTGAAGAGGCAATAATCGAATCTGTCGTCTTCCCCAGTTCTCCTTCTACATATAATCTACATACGGAGATTTTTGAAGAGACAATAATCAAATCAATTAATTCGAAGAAGAAGAAGGAGAGAAGGATGGTGGAAGAGGGGAGGAATAAGAGGGTGGTGGAATCACTGGGATGGCTAACGGAATCTTCTGTGATGCCAAAGAAACACAAGGCCATCGAAGGTGTGGGAGCCTCCTCCATCCTTGAGCTCAAGGCCCAGCTTTACAAGACCCAGGAAGAGGCCAAGAAAGCCAAGGAATTAGCCGCGGACGTCGAATTCCACCGCGCCAAGAAAAAGATCGTCCCCTATGATGTCTTCGCACAGAAGAATTCCGGCGTTGAGTCCCGAGCTAATAAGTAAGCTCTCTTTCTGTCTCCCTCTTTTGATTTTCCTTCAATTACTTTTAGTGGGTGGTTATATTCTCTTGCAATTTTTTCTTAAATAAGCAATTTGCTAGAATTCCGCCTAGATTTTGTGTTTTATTCGTCCGTTTATAATTGAAAATATTGATCATTTGATAGCTCGAGTCAGAAAATTCTATTTAGTAGGAGCAGTTCTTGGACACCTATACTCCAAATGCATACAGGCAGCTGAAGGAATTTTAGCAACAACCAAAATCCATTTTGGTCTCATATGTTAACTATGGAAAAATGAAGAAACTAGAGTAGATTCCCTTGGAAGAACAGGAATACATAAAGAAAATTAAGGGTCCGTCTGGTAACTGGAATCGGAATCTGAATCCTTTGGAAGCGGAATTGGAATGGTCTGATCCCATAGCTTCTTTGGTTCGGAGTTGGAATCAAATGGGATCTCATTCTCAAAGGATTCCCTCGAATAGGGGAATGCCATTCCACCAGGAATGGGAATGGGATTCTGATTCTGCCCAACCAAACAATTGGTATCAGAATGGGTCATTCTGATCCCGATTCCAGACCCCTATTCCCATGAACCAAATGGGCCCTAAAGGTAAATAGGCCAAAAAATGTGCCACCTTTATGTCTAGATTTTTCTATCTTGAGGTACTGTGAGGATCTCCATCCTTTCTCAAACATTAGGTTCCGGTATAATGCCTACTGCTTTCCTCCTACAAAACCAAGTTCTTGTCTAGGGGCTTTATCAGAAATTCGTGGAGCAAATGCACCAGATAGGTAGCAGATAATTTATTCGTGCCACTTCTCAAGAACCAAAATGACACGCATAAATCAAGAAATGATCCAAAAAATGATAATCCATCTGTATGGATGATTTATGGTCTTGTAGATGCATTTCTTATTTCCTTTAATCACAAAATAGAGTATCTGGCTGAAGCAGATTAGTAGAGGAGCTCCAGTATTTTAGGAGGGTCTTATATCTAGAGCTTCACTACTTGAACAAGTCACAACAGGCAGTTTCTGTTGTACTCCTATAAATATGAGTTGATCCAAAGAATATGAGGCAACCAATGATTTAAAAAAGGGAATGCAGGGTAGCCTGTTGCAGACATCAATGTTAGCATATGGCATTGCCTAATCCTCATAAGGGGTAAAGGCCAAATGCATTGGAGTTATGAGGAGAACATGAAATATAAAAACTGAAGGTACCTGTGACTTTGCTTCGCAAATTACAGACATCAGTGTTAGCATATGGCATGCCTAATCCTCATAAGAGGTAAGGAGTAAAGACCAAATGCTTTGTAGTTTATGAGGAGTATATGAAATATAAAAACTGGTCATGAAGGTACCTGTGACTTCACTTCAAAAAATTGCAAACATCAATGTTAGAATATGGCATTCCTAATCCTCATAAGGGGTAAAGAGTAAAGATCAAATGCTTTGGAGTAATGAGAGTACCTGTGACTTTGGCTTCACAAATTGCATGGGAATTTTCAATCACTAAATTGCATGTCACTTTGTGAATATCTTGGTAAAACTAAATTGATTGTGAGAGTGAAACAAAGTCTGGCTGTGCAATCTTCAATTCTCCTGGTAGATTCTTAGACATCAAATCAACAGAACAATTTTCATGGTTTGTAAATTTGTTGACTCTGTCAGTAGACACAGAGAGATTGCATGTCATTCATCCATTTGAGATCAAATAGAGATATTCCTAGGGCTACATAGTCCATGTTTGAGAACAAGCTATTCCAATTATAGCTAGCTAAAACCTAATATAGCCAGTATATTCTTGTAAGAGGGACTCCTATCTCCCAATCAGCTCAATTAGGGAACCACCCTAAAGAACCTGCCTTAGAATCTCCAGTTCAAGGCCTGGGACAGGCCAATTAGGGAAGCTCTCCACACAAAAAATGTAGTAAAACTGGGGCTTGGTGCCTCTGTCCTCCTAGTTCTATATTTTTGTGTTTCCTTTCAAGAATCTAGAAACAGCTGGGAAGAGAATTATCACAACAGTTTATATAAAACAAAATTATAGCTTGTAGCCTTTTTGGTATGTTAGTATATGGTGTGGTGTTAGCACTAGCCTTCTCATTCTCTCCACATCATATATATTTTTTCTGTACATTTTATTCGAAATTTGTCATTAATAAATCTCTATTCTTTTACTGGTCAAACAAACATGTTCTGTTATTTACAACGCCTAAAGCTTGTGGAGGCAGCTGATTGTGGAGAAATTTGATACAAGAAACAGTGGTTGGGAGTTGGGACCAAGGGCCTACTCCCTCTTCTGTTGGTTGTTCAGTCTGGAAAGGGATTGAGAAGGTTTTTTTCCAATTTTCATTCAAGGAGTTTGGCTGAAAGTAGGGAATGGTAGCAGGATAAGATTCTGGAAAGACCCTTGGTGTAACAGTTTGGCTTTAATGGAAGTCTTTCCTTCACTGTTTCTTATAGCTGAGGATAGGGATGTGATGGTGGCAGATCAGTTTGAGTGGTGTGGGAGTACAGGGACATGGTGTCCTAAATTCAGGAGACAACTCAATGATTGGGAGATTTCACTATTTCAGACCTGCTAGTTCTGTTCTAGCTACTTCGGACACAACATCCACAACCAAATCAGCAAGATTCAAAGGGTCTAGAAATGGTCTAGTGATGGCATTTTCTCTGTGAAGTCCTTTTATAAGAAGCTGTCTGCTGGTGGCTCTCAGGATTTTCCATGGAAAGAGGTATTGCTCCCTCACATCAGCTGAACAAGAGAGGTTTAGTGCTGGACTCTTTAATCTGTGTCATGTGTGACAAGGAAGTTGAGTCTGTTGATCACCTTTTCATTCGCTGTAAGGCTGCTCATAACTTTTCAGTCATTTCTGTTCCCTGCTGAGTGTCAACTGGTGTTTGCCGAGCTCTCTGCCCGATTTGCTATTTTCCTGGAAGTTTCTGGGCTTAAGTGGTAGGGGCAAGGTGCTTCGGAGTGCTATTCTTCATGTAGTGTGTTGGGTTCTGTGGGCAGAAAGAAATGGGAGGATTTTTGAAGGAAAGTTGTGTTCTTTAGATGATGTGGGGGTTTGGGCTATGGCTACTCTGCATTCTTGGCTGTCTCCCAAGGTTTCCTTCAAACACATCCAATATCATTAGTATTTTGATTATGGCACACTGTTTATTTAATATCAGAGTCTGATTGTCTCTTGTATTTGGTCTTGAGAGACTAGTTTTTTTGGGTGGCTTCTATGTATAGTTGCTGGCTGTACATGGAGAATACTGGACAGACATATGTTTTTTGTTCTTTACAGTAAATTTTCAATACAATACCTTACCTCTTTCTCAAAAAAAAAAAAAAATCAACAGACTGAATAAATGATGAAACATGTTTCATTTATTATGATAGAACATGTTCTATCATCCACTGAATTGAATCTTGGTCATTATAAAGTGATTTTTTCTGCTAAATAATTCCAGGGATAAGCTTGAGCTAAAAGCAGTAAATGATGGATCAGCTAGCTATGCAGCATTAGAGAGGAAAGCTGAGCTATATGAAAAGCTTGCAAGGGGAGAGCTCTCAGATGAGGAAGAAAAGGAAAAGTATTGTGTGGATTTTTTCCGCAAGAGCCTTGTGCAGGAAGAGTCACAGCAACTGCAGACACATGATGCTTCTCCTGGGGTATCAATAGAGAATGAAGATGACAACAATGATGCTTCTTATCTGCTCAACACAAAAACTTTAGGACCTGGGCGGACAGCTAGCACAGTAGACAATGATGAACACAAGCGCTTTGTAAGGTATGGTTTCTTGATATAAAGTATATACTATGTCAGCATTAGTTGAATATGGATGGATATGAATAGCAGTCACCAATGCTTTCTTTAACTTAATGTCATCAAACTAAAATGGATCCATTTCAACAAGACAAGAAATTACTTTTTTTTAATCAAAAGTCACTTCATTTTAAATATGCTATTTGTGATAGACTCGTAGGTCCTAAGATGGATATTTTAGATATGTTAAACTTGCATAACAGCACATGATGGCACACTTTGCATGCTATAAAAATCAAATGAAATATTTCATTTGCATGGGTCTTTAATATCAATTTATAACTAAAACATCCTCCAATACAACATTCATCTTTTACTCTAACCTATTTGTGTGGATGTAACAGTCCCTTTGAAGTCCCAATGACTGACATCATGTATTTCTCTCTAACAATTTACTTATGGTTCTCTCCCAGGGAGGTTCATGAGGAGGCAAATAAAGCAAGAGAAAAGGTGTCCGCGCTCAAGTTGCATAGGCAAGAGCAAGCCACAGCTCGTAGGGAGAAACTAAGGCAGGCATATCTCCGGAAACAATTAGAGAAATTGAAAGAAGCAGCTGCATCAAAGACAGATGACAGAATGGTAGTATAGAAACTGCCTTATATCCAGCAAGAAAGGTATATATGGATCTGACTCTCCAAATATGTGACCCATGTTGACTGAAATTTGAAAATGGTGCCTTCCAGTAGCACACCGTTCAATTGGCTCCATTCTTGAATTATGTATGCATTTGGTGTCTGTTCTAGGAAAAAGAACAGATTGTTGCATGGAATTTTGAAAATGGTGCCTTCCAGTAGCACTGTCATCGGCCTAGTTTCAAAGTATTTATATTTTATCGTACAGACTACAGAGCATGGGCTTTTGTATCTCAAGGCTAACTGAAAGCAGTTGAGTTCAAGTAGAATCTAATGTACAGCTTTTTTTTTTTTTTTTCTTTTTTTGATAATGTATAGTATTCAAACCCACAAAGCGTGGTAGTTAATATTTTAAAGTTGCTGATAAAAATTGGAAAGAAATTGCTCAACATTGTCGATGTTGCTCTAGATTGTTGCAGCTTATCCCCATTATTTTGTTATGATTCTATGAAGCCTCCCTCCAACATTTCAGAACTAGCTCCTTTGGTCACATAGAATTAAAACATACCAATTTATCAGTGATACAGTAGAAGGTTCAGATCAAAGATTTAAAGTGATACAGTAGTAACATGAGTTTAGCAGTCTCTATCTGAACAAAAATTTAACCTGAACATAAATTGGCTTCAATGGTTGTACAACAACTAACTGACCTAACTGGCAGAAGGGAGATCTTTTCCTTGATGTCCACGAGTCCTGCAATAATGGGAGCTACCGACCTGATCTGGGGGTCCTGTTTTTTCCACCACTTGACAAGGGTAGATTCATCAAAGAACATATCTTTCCTCAACTGCTTATTTTTTCCTGCAACTGCAACTGAGACCAATTTCTCTAATTCCTTCACCATGGGTTTCACTTCTTGAGAAGGTTTTCCTCCATCAGCAAGGCAGAGCTCCTCTACCTTGGTCCAGATACAGGATTCAGCATAGTGTCCTGCTTCCTTTCCATCGGCATGCTCAAGCCATCTGTGTACCTATAACGCTTTGGCTTGGCCCTTTTCAGGTATGCCCCGGTGTCATCATTCTTTGAATGCCGGTAGAAATTGAACTTGCATCACATGAACCCCCTCGGCCTCTTCAAACTGACTTCAAAGTAACAGCAAAACTCCCGTTATTTTGATTTGTCTAGTTCAACCGGACAGACCACCAGTGATTTCACGCAACCTATTTTGAACGATTTGTGCAACCAATTTTGATTCTTATTCTTCTCTCATTCGTTTATTCTTCTTCAAATCTTGTTTCCAACCTAGCTTTTTCTTATTATTTTTCTTTCTTTGCTCTTGAATGTTTCCGAAGCTAGAGTTATTGGTGGTACCCTGATCGAAGGCAACATAAAATTTTCAAAAACAGAACAGGTACTCTCTCCACTGTCTGTAATGCCAGAGTGTATTGATTTCCACCGTCTGAATCCTAGAAACTCCTTGAAATAAAAACCAGAAAAATAAAAACTCAATAAATAGAAACACAGAAAAATAATAGCTGACTGAACTAATAATTTCCCAGACAGAAAAAATGAAACTACTAATTGCAGAGGTTTTAAAACAGCAGCTGGATAAAAAAAAAAAAAATAGAAGCCACAAATTCAGAAACTGCTGTTAGCTTCTAATCTGGATTCAGCCATTAGTTTCTCCTTTTCTCATATGCTTTGGTAATTTTGGGTTGCTCAAATATCTTGGGAAATTGATTTGCTAGGATGAATGGCCCCCGACCGTTCAGATTTGAATCAAATCAATGTGGTGCATCCACCTAAACATCTCCAATATACTGGAAAATGCATGGAATGTGGAGGTAAACTGATCAAGAGCTACGGTATGTAAAAAAAAAAAAAAAGGAATAATTTGGAGACAGAACTTAAAAGTTGGAATAAGGAAACTTTTGGTAATATTTTTGAAAAGAAAAAGAAGCTTTTGAACAGAACAGAACAAGTCCAAAAAGCTATTAACAATGACCCAAATGGCGTCCCATCTCTCAATTTGGAAGCTGCACTGCAAAAACAACTAGACAAAATTCTAGCCTATGAGGAGGCCTTTTGGGCTCAGAGATCCCGTTTGGAATGGAAAATGTTAGGTGATAAAAATAACAATTTTTTCACTCCATGGCCACTATAGGAAGGTATACAAATAGAATTAAGGGAGTTAAGAATGATGATGGGGTGTGGATCCAAAACAAAATTGAGTTAGCAGAATGTTTCATGGAGAAATACAAAGATCGTTTTAATTCCAGGGCACACATGGTATTGATGATTTCATCAATGACATTGAGGACTGTATTACTGAGGAACAAAACAATCAAATCATTAGAGATGTTATAAATGAAGAAATATTTGAAGTGCTTTGATCTTATTTTCTTTAAGAAATTTTGGAACATAATTGGGGATTCTATTTGTAATGTGGTAAAATCTTTTTTCCATGATAGGAAGTTATGTGGGACCGTAAGTCAAACATACATTACCTTAATCCCAAAGAATAAAAACCTGGAAAATGTAAATGATTATAGACCAATTAGTCTTTGCAATGTTTATGTATAAAATCATCTCTAATATCCTTGTAAATAGAATTAAACACTTGATGGACTCGATCATTTTTCATACCAAAGTGCTTTTATTCCAAATCGTCATATAAATGCCAATATTCTTATTGCCCATGAAATGATACATACCATGAGAAAGAAAGAAAAGAAAGACAAGATCTATGGTCTGTAAGATTGATATGGAAAAGGCTTATGATAAACTTGAATGAGAGTTCATAAAGAAAATTCTTAAAAAATGTGGATTTCACGAAAGATGGATTTTATGGGTTGTGGAATGCATCAAAACAATCTTATATCGCTTACACATTAATGAGACTGCAATTGAGGAATTTAAACCCACTAAGGGGATTAGACAAGGGGACCCGCTATCCTTGTACCTTTTTTGTTTTATATGCAGAAATCCTTGCAAGGAATTCGATCTAGAAATTTTTGCTCATATTGCTAAGATGAACTCTATTCGTGTAATTATGTCACTTATTATACCTTTTTTGTTTTATATGCAGAAATCCTTGCAAGGAATTCGATCTAGAAACTTTTGCTCCTATTGCTAAGATGAACTCTATTCGTGTAATTATGTCACTTATTGCCCATTTATTTTGACCTTTATATCATATGGATGTGAAAAATGCATTTTTTTTAATGGAGATCTGCAAGAAGTGTATATGGACTTACCTCCTGGGGTAAGCTTCCCTAACAATGAAGGAAAAGTTTGTCGTTCGAGGAATTCTTTGTATGGCCTCAAGCAATCTTCTAGTGCCTAGTTTGACAAATTTAGAAATGTTGTTTTGAATATTGGATTCTCTAAGTCTCAGATTAACCACACCTTATTCATAAGGAAGGTCAATGGTCGATTAACTATGTTGATGGCATTGTTTGATTTGGGATGCCATCTCAAGTATCTCTCAACTAAAGTCATTTCTTATTTCAAAATTTGAGATTAAGGATCCTGGTGATCTCAAGTACTTTCTTGAAATTGAAGTTGCAAGATCCAAGTAGGGAATATTCCTTTGTTAAAGAAAGTATGTTCTTAATTTTCTCCATGAATTAGGAAATTGCGATGCAAGTTTACAGAAACTCTAATTGATCCCAATCACAAGTTGAGTACTATTGAAGGATATATTCTTTTAGACAAAGGGATCTTTCAAAAAATGGTTGACCATCTTTTTTTATCTCTATTCGACTAGACTTGACACATCATATGCAGTAAGGGTGGTCAATTAATATATGCATGAGCCTAAAATCTCCCACATGAAGGTTGTTAATAGAATCCTAGACTATTTGAAGGAATGTCCTAGTAAAAGGATGTTGTACTCCAATCATTGGCATCTAAAGGTTGAGGCCTATATAGATGCAGACTGGACAAGGTTTATTGATGACAGAAGATCTACGTCCAGTTATCGTGCCTTAGTTGGAGGTAATGCTATTTTATGGAAAAGCAAGAAACATTGAAACAATCAGTTGTTGTTCGATCTAGTGTTAAGGCAGAATATAGGGCAATGGCCATGGAGTATCAAAATTACTCTAGTTGAAGGCCCTATTGGCCGAGATAGGAATCCAAGTTGATACTCCAATGAGACTTTATTGTGACAATCAAGCAGCTATAAACATTGCCCACAATCCTGTGCAACGTGACCGTATAAAACATATTGAAGTTGATAGACATTTTATAAGAGAAATGATAGCAAGTGGAGAAATTTGCCTGCCCTTTGTAAGATTAAAAGACCAATTGGTTGATTGTTTCACTAAAGGCCTTCATCATCCAAAGTTTGCCAAGAACTTAAACAAGTTGGGCATGATTGACATATATGCTCAGCTTGAGGGGGAGTATTGAAATTGTTTAGATATAAGGGTATTATTATCTTTTTTTTTGTTCTTTTGTATTTGGGCACCCATATGAAGGTGTATTTGTAATTTCTCTCAATAATATAGCTACTTGTTGTTTGTTCTAGAGTTGAGGCAGAATATAGGGCAATGGCCATGGAGTGTCAAAATTACTCTAGTTGAAGGCCCTATTGACTAAGATAGTCATCCAAGTTGATACTCCAATGAGACTCTATTGCGACAATCAAGCAGTTATAAACATTGCCCACAATCCTGTACAACACGACCATATAAAATATATTGAAGTTTATAGACATTTTATAAGAGAAATGATAGAAAGTAGAGAAATTTTCCTACCCTTTGTAAGGTTAGAAGACCAATTGTCTGATTGTTTCACTAAAGGCCTTCATCATCCAAAGTTTGCCAAGAACTTAAACAAGTTGGGCATGACCGACATATATGGTCAGCTTAAGGGGGAGTGTTGAGATTGTTTGGATATAAGGGTATTCTTATCTTTTTTTCTTTTTGTTCTTTTGTATTTGGGCACCCATATGAGGGCGTATTTGTAATTCCTCTCAATAATATAAAATCCTAAGTTTAGATGTTGTAACTATTATAATAGATATAAAAATAAAATTATTATATTTAAAACTTATTATATATATAAAATTGTTTTACTTTACATATAAAAATAAGAATTATAAGAATTATTTATTCTTATATATAAAAAATAAAAATGATTTATTATATATATATATTAGGTTCGATTAAGTTCACAAGCCTCACGGCTCAAGCTTCGCTAGGCTCGAGCTTGACTTGATTAGCAAACAAACCTATATTCTAGACTCAAGCTTGGCTCAAAGCTTGGTTAAAACCGAGCTGAATCGAGCT